TCTCACTATGAGACCGACAGAAACAGATTATTTCAGACAGTAACCACAATTTCTCCATCCTTTCCTCATTTAGAAGATCATCAAAAGACTATGTTTCTACTAAGATCACAAAACCCACTCATTACGCATAATGTGGGACTATTCACTATCCATCGCCTTCAAAGAAGAAGTCAAACCTCATAATAGCAAGTGTAGTAGTAGAAGTATACGTTTTTCCAGACAGTAGTTGTCTGTCTCCTATTATTGTATTGTACCGAATAGTATCTTTGACTGTAAAGCAATCAGCCTTCGGGCGTGATTTTGCAAATACATGTAAAGAATTTAAAATTAAAAAATTATTATAAACCTGCATTTCTCCTGCGTTCTCTTAGAGTCACTGACGAAAGGTAGTGGGTGTTACCTGAAACTTCTGACTGTTTTTAAAATGTTGAGTGTTTTTGGCATATCTTATTATCTGGATGTCTAACCTTCACCGACTATAGAATCCTAACGAAAAGAAAACTTTAACTTTATGATTTTTTGTTTCGCTGATTTCATAACTCAATTTCTCCCTTTCAAACATCACACACAGCTTACCTGTAGTACACTTTACACTACAGAAAGAAAGTACAACATTGCCTTTTCCCTCTTCTGTAAAGAAATAGGACATATTTCCAACAACCATTATGTGACCAAAGTATTTTCAGGGAAAACAGTTTGATCACAAATGAATTTGAAAACATATCCCATTGCTATACTGGATGAAACAACAGACAATATTACAAGTGCTTTCCTTAGTAGGGAAATGTACTGTGTTCTACACCATATTATGCATACAAATATTAGTCACAAACTTAAACTAGATATTAGTATAAAAATGTGAACTCTTTCAATCAAAAATGACAATGAATACACAGTAGAGAGGGCCGGTTTGGATAATCAGATGTTTGGAACTAAAAATTAAGATAGAGGATTGCAGAGATCGCCCTATTCCAACATATTTCATTGTCATTTTTTTGGGTTTGCATGGGAGGTCCCGATTACGCTTTGCGCTGAATTCGGAAGGCAGCGGCCACGATCTATTCTTCATTTGTGCAGACTGGATGCTTAACACATTGACTTAATTCAAATTATGCAAAATGCACATGGCAAGGCGCAAAAGTATGCAAAGCAGCGACCCGGTATTACGCTTCATACATGCAGGTAACGCTTTACCCATAATGCAACGATTAGGTTCAACATTTAGTCATAAAGACCTGACTTCGCATTATGCAAATCTAATACGAGTGCTTACGCATTGCGGCATGCACACCCCATTTTTGAAAGAGTTCTAAAAATAAAAGCCAACTCACGATCATGGTCCGATGTTCTCTTGTCTCATAGATAGGTGACAGGTCCCTCAGGAACACACACAGGCAAATCCTCCTGGAATAGGGCAGGTATACACAGGATAGCCAACAGATGCTCTGGGAATATGGACAGGAACACAGACAGGCCACACGTGCACAGGAACATGGTCAGGTACAGTCTCAGCTTTCCATATGCTAGGGTGTAAAAGAAATAAACATTCAGAAAAATCTCATGCCAAATTTACATGTACATACACCAAGGATACATCAATATTTACAATGTTCACATATCACGTATGACATCAAAACATTCACAACATTTCTTACAAAACTGCTTTCATTGGGGCAAGAGTACATGGAACATTGTTGGTGAGTTGAAACAAGTGTATAAGGTATCACAATCCAAACAACAACGTAATATGTTGACATTCATTAAAGCCGATGAGCTAAGTTAGATAGCATAACATCAAATATCAGTTCATGAACATTGAAAAACAGATCAAGCTCATATGCACTGAAATAAAACATCAATTAGGCAATAATTTCTACATACGGCAATAAAAGATATGGAGAAAACAGGTCATGTCAAATATGTATTTACATGTGTCTGTATGTATCAATATCAAATACAGTGTAAACCATAATCACGAGCAAACGTGTCAATGAAATTGTAATGAGTTCATTTTTAACAATCATTGCACACATGCAATTATATCAACTTGTAAAGTTCTAGAAAGGTAACATTTGCAAGGCAAATGCATAATTTGCACATGGTCTGCTCTGTTACTAGTTAATTCTTACTCAGACACATTCATATACATGTATATGGTCAGACAGGAGTCTAAATCTCTCCTGCTATAAAATTGTAACATGACGTAACCCATCCCAACACTAGTTACCATGGTAACAGGCACAACATTGGTTCTGGTCATTGAGGTCTGTATGGAGAAGAAGAAGAAGAGCAAGAAGAAACTGTGCAAATATGTTATATATAAATCCTTCGGTTTTAAACATAAGATTTCAACTTGATGAAACATGATCAACAAGACGGTCATGAAAGGACAATACACATGAAAATTTAAGATGCCCCTTCATGAAAGTTCTACAGACCTGCAAGGGATTGAAACCCAGGACCACAATGCCACCGTCATTTGTTGATATTTATTCCCAAGTTGTGAAGTTGTGTTCCTGAAAAACAACTAATTACATAATGGTACCTCTGAAAACATTTCCCTTGGTTTGGAGCTCTGTGATGAATTAAATCATGAGAATCTGTATAAACAACATGCAGGAGCTTCAGTAACAGCAACAAGGCATACAAATCATCATATTCAGGTATTGTTGGCTGTCATGAATTTTTCTTAGGTTTACACGACAAATATCAAAATTCTAATCTCAGATTTTAACAAGTCAAGTTAGAGAGTCTGTTTGGGATAATTTACCGCTCAACAACTGGTTAATATGCATAGAAAAGTCCTGACTTGTTCCAGGATAAACAACAGCGGCACCGCCTCTCTTGCAGTACTTTAAACCTGTGGTGGATTCTCGGTGTCTTTTCTACCGACAAATTTACCTTCCTGAGCACTATGTGACGTATATCATTACCTTGGATATGGTCTTTGATACACAAACAACTCTGTTACCGCCCCCCTCCCCACTCAATACCAGTCGTCTGTCTCCCCTCCTTCCAAATCTATCACCTTGTCCATGTCATCCTCTGCAAAACCGGCTCCATCGTGTCCCTCCTGCCTGCTCTTGGCCTCGGAACACTTTTTTTACGTTGAAACGCATAGAATTTGACCAAAATACACAGGACCAACAAAGCACGTTCCACCTTTCAGAAACTAGGTCAGAGGTCACACGTTCTAGCGCCCCTCAGCGGTTTATTTACAAACTGCACCTCATAAGGTTGCGGTTGGTGTACTGTTCACTACATTTTGTACGCACGGGTTGATATTTGGTTGGCCTCGCGTCTCTTTGTGTATGTTATTCACGCTTAAAAATACAGGGATATCTTATCATCAGCAATTGATATGAAAGAAGTCAAAAATTTCTATAATCGTAATAAGAGCTCGACATAGAGAGTGACGTAGAGCACCATTCACCGGGGTCGTATACTTTAGCCGGAGGTTTTGTCCAGTAGTATTTTTTCGTAAACCTGCACGAGAAGTGTGCTTCTATTTCAGGATCATTGATTTTACCCTCATTGAATAGTTTATTGACCTATGTCACTAATTAAAATTAGTGGCTTGGCCTACACGGTGCCTTTTTATCCAACACTGGCATGACTGGAGATACAGTATACATTCACTTGAGCACACAAATGCGCCCCCAGCGGTTGCTTAACTTAGTACAGCGTTAACTCGTGGGGGATAGTTGCCGCAACCTATTTTCGAAATTCTATCTTTTTGCTTCATTTAACTGAAATAAGATTTATCTACAATGAGTCCGGAGAGTATCTACGACAACTTAAAGTACAGCTTACCTCCAAAGCGGACGTGGCGCGTCTTCCTGGGTGGAATTTTTACCCGCTCGTTCTTCCCTTCCATGTGCACTCGCCATCTTGGAAAGGCGTGTTTCACGCACATGTGCCTGTGGCACCTGTAAATCATGAGCAAAATTTGAATTCGATAATCAAGTTAACACAAGATTAGCGACAGGCCAATAGGCAATCATTACACATGCATGCCTGAAAAAAAATGAGATGATTTAATCAATATTATGGCTTTTATCTTACGAATTCGAAATTCTATATTTTGCTATCGTCATCATTCAACTTTATCAATTTAGGAGGAAAACACACGTTAGTAATTTTCCGAAACATGATCTTTGCTTGACCCTTTATCTTTTGATTGAGGAACACTTTATCAGGCCCTTTTATCACAAGACAATTTAGATACTCTATCGAAAGAGCCGTAAAATTCTACGTCACATCCTAGCGATAGCAGTTTTGAAAGTCCAGTGTCCGAGGACTCTCTTGCTACGACCACCGCGAAAACGGTCAGAACCTGAATGATAAGCATGCTGGGGGATATCATGGTTATGGTTATGATTGTCTAACATGATGCAACACGGTGGATACAATCACTCACGTGGGCGTTCCGTCAGCAATCTTATCTTTTGCAGGTTCTAGGAATTGTTGACGGGCCAACATTCCCCCCAGGTAGTGCGTGGGTGAGTCAAACAGACAAATCTACAGACAGGTAGGATGACAACACGTCTATATTGGAATATATTAAAGCAGCCACCCGTTCAGCGACAAGCATCGCTAATTCTAAACTAGTCGAGAATCTAGATACATTAAGCCTACAGTAATAAAACAATGCGAAATTTGACTAACACCTGCAGATGAATATACCCCGGGTGCTCTGATGGCTAATTTGCACGGTATTCGTGCATGTTTTCAGCCGTATGTTCATACTAATTTACTAATGGCCTCTTGACACATAAACCATATTTTCCTAAGCGTTAGTCGCTCGAGCTCACTTAATGCTGCTATACTTTACGCACTTCTTGAGCGGGGCTCTAATATTTACATTAGCCTAGGCCGGCGCCAACCATCCACTGAGTTAAGACCTTCACAAGTTTCAAATGATTTTATTCTATTCATCACAACACCAAAAGCGTACTTCAATTGAATTATTTATATTGCAAACTATCACGTTTTACATCAAAAGTCTCAAAAAGCACAGTTACTAACACAACAACAGTTATTGTATTTTCTATTAAGGTGTACAAGGACAATGCATACGTTATTATTTTAAGTGTGTTAACATCAAATCACGAATACGCAAGAAGATGGTATATATTAATATTAACGTGCACTGTTTACATCAACAACGTAAAATCCACCATATGCAGTGGTGCCTGTATCGCTCAACAACTGATACAAACTCTTATTTTCTCTTTTGGTAATTTATGATGAAATCTTCAAATTACTTGTAGCATGTGCTCACGACGTTACTGGTCAAAACGCTCTTGTCATGCAGTAGTCGGAATACTGTTAGTAACATTCAACAGTACAGATCATTACCATACAGGACAGAAGCCATGCTCCAATTGTTTCACGTGTCAACCATCCCAGTACACTATCAGCCTGGCATGAGGACCAACATAACTTATCTTTTTTTCCTATTATCACTGTTACATCTACAAAAAATCAGTTAATCATGGCTAGATGATTAGATGTCTGTTTAAATGAGCGCAAATGCTATAGTAAGCTTATTTGGCCATCTTACCAGAAATCTTACCAGATCTATGTACTAACAGCCAAAAAATATTTCTCGATATTTGACAAGAAATTCCCAAAAGATTATACATGTTGTGTGAAAAGGTGCCATGTTTCAAAAAAACTGAATGGTCTATTGAGTCTTTAAGAGTTGATCATCCATTTTGTTATTTGAAGGAATAAAAACGCTCTATGTCACATTACACATTATTTTCATAGATGTTTTCACTGTCCTGTGTTTCTGAAACATTTTCAGTTACGTTGCAATATGTTTTCACCACTCATCTCCGCAATATGATGGGGTGCATCGAAAATACTCGACATTGCATAAGCTTTGTCTTTGTCATATGTGTAATATTATAATCCAAGATTGCACCCTGTCACTGACATGACAAACTACAAGTTGCTCCTTGCTTTATTTACCAACTAACAGTGCTAGACTGTTACCGACTCCACTGTATGTTAACGTTCTCTACAGGAAATAGCCAAGAACGATTTTTAGAATTTCCCTCACAAGCCCTCACATGGGTGATAGTGAAAGGGACTACATGTAAGTTAATTAACAAATTGGCATATATACTCTGTGTCTACATTGGTGTATCAGATCTCATTTTAATGTGTCTACACAAAAGATTTAAATCCATCAGTAAAATTATTACCATCGTTGCTATAGGAAATAAGAACCATGGACCATTGAATATTTTCTGTGTCATTTCTGTCATGTCCGGTGCCTTTGTCATTTCTGTGGCGTCCGGTGCCTGCGTCATTTCTGTCATGTTCAGTGCCTGTGTCATTTCTGTCATGTTCAGTGCCTGTGTCATTTCTGTCTTGTCAAGTGCCTGCGTCATTTCTGTCTTGTCAAGTGCCTGCGTCATTTTTGTCATGCTCAGTGCCTGTGTAATTTCTGTCATGTTCAGTGCCTGTGTCATTTCTGTCATGTTCAGTGTCTGTGTCATTTCTGTCATGTTCAGTGCCTGTGTCATTTCTATCATGCCCAGTGCCTGTGTCATTTCTGTCGTGCCCAATGCCTGTGTACTCGTCCGTGATAGTTCTGCCCTGCTGTGGGTTGTTGGCAGCGAAGACCAAGTGGTGACATTAGGCTGATGAGCGCCATAATTAGCTGTGGGACAGGGAGTGTCTGCGGGACAGGGCTTCCGGAAACATTTTGAGATATCCAATTTATAGAGTTCTACGCCCTCTAAATTTGGAGGTGTTTTACAGCGAAACGAGCCTGGGTGTTTATACATTGAATATGCCATTGTCTTAGTCATAAACAAGTTAATGCAGAAACTTGTTTGTTGGTACCGGCACCTTTCCGTCGTTATCGCCAAATGAATGAGCCAACCTATGTCGCAATCACAATGGAAAGGATTACCCCACACGATCGCAGTGTATACATGTAGTTTGTATGAACCCTTCAGCATGTCAATTCCTAAATCACAGGAAGCAAAGGTCGTGAGGCGGTTGTAGGAAATGTTCACCCGTCGTAGGAATCGCAGGGCAGACTTGACGGGGAAGAGGTTAACGCAGAAAATCTGGTTTTGTGACAGATCTAACTCAGACAGATTCGGCAATTTCTTCAGACATTTCCAAGAGAAATGACTGATACTGTTATTTCGTAGATTGATCGTTTTTAGGTAGTCAAGTTCCGCGCACGGAAAGGTAGTCAGGGCGTTGTTGGGAAGAATAAGATCGTACACTTCGGTTGGAACTTCGTTAGGAACACTCATCAGGCCCTTGTTATCACAAGTCAATTTAGATACTCTACCCAAAGAGCTGTAAAATTCTACGTCACATCCTAGCGATAGCAGTGTTGAAAGTCCAGTGTCCGAGGACTCTCTTGCTACGACCACCGCGAAAACGGTCAGAATCTGAACGACAAGCATGCTGGGGGATATCAGACGCCCGTTTAGATGTCTATAATGTGGTGCTATCCAAACTCATGGAGAAAAGAATGACATTCCCTTGCTACAAAAAACAAAAAAACTATAATCCTAATATTATTATCTGTGATAGTTATGTGTGCAGATTGATTTTGTGTATCGCTGCAGTAAGTGCACAGTACAGCAGACAAATTGTGTTATTGTTTACAATCACTTAAAATACCAGTTAGTATCACTTTGTCTTGCTGTGCGCTTAAACGTCCTTGTTTCTGTCAGTGTGGGTTGGGTTGCCTATGAACGCTGTCACCCCAACAGCTTTATTCTGTGGCCCAGACGCCGCTTAGGTTCTCCTCGCCAGAAAGCGCTCTGACATCCTAAAGACTGAAGAAGAAAAATGCTCAGAATAAACAGGTGTCCTGTAATCGGTACAGTAAAGTCACGGGTTCCATCCCGGCCGAGCCATTTCAAAGATCGAGAAATAGTATGGCAATTGAACTACATATTCCTGGACGTGTCTCCGTCGAAACAATGCAATCAAATACATCAAAAACGTATTGCATGTTTTACAACACTCGCACTCTCGCACAGCGCAAGCTAGGTGTTTCCAAGGTACGGCAGTATTAGGAAGTCCGGCAGATCTGCTGAAAACATCGACTGACAGCAAAGGCCTGTGCCAACAAACTGGGGCCGAAACACTCCACAGCCAACCCGCAGAGAATGGTCGCTAGCTATAGCTATAGGGTAGTACATCGTTCAATACAGCACTGGTACACCAGTTACCGATAGTTTGCAATTTTGCTCTCTCGACGTTTCTGATAATGGTCACATCAACAGCTTTCTGTGAAACAACGTGAACAATCATTAATATTTCAGTAAGCTTACCTGAAGAAAATATTCTTACTTAAGCTGCTGCCTCAGTGTGTAATTGGCCCCTTCCCCTTCTACTAGTTCTAGGAGACCGGTTATAGTCAGTCAGCCCGATTAGAAATCGCGCGATTTGGGCAGGCTTCCTCCCGTGGCGCCTGCCGCTTGCCGACTGAGAAGGGAACAAGCTGATTTCTATGTTTGTATGATTGTCTAGCGTGATGTAACACGGTGGATACAATCACTCGCGTGGGCGTTCCGTCAACAATCTTATCTTTTGCAGGTTCTAGGAATTGTTGACGGGCCAACATTCCCCCCAGGTACTGCGTGGGTGAGTAAAACAGACAAATCTACAGACAGGTAGGATGACAACACGTCTATATTGGAATATATTAAAGCAGCCACCCGTTCAGCGACAAGCATCGCTAATTCTAAACTAGTCGATAATCTAGATACATTAAGCCTACAGTAATAAAACAATGCGAAATTTGACTAACACCTGCAGATGAATATACCCCGGGTGCTCTGATGGCTAATTTGCACGGTATTCGTGCATGTTGTCAGCCGTATGTTCATACTAATGGCATCTTGACACATAAACCATATTTTCCTAAGCGTTAGTCGCTCACTTAATGCTGCTAGACTTAACGCACTTCTTGAGCGGGGCTCTAATATTTACATTAGCCTAGGCCAACCATCCACTGAGTTAAGAGCTTCACACGTTTCAAATTATCGGTCTTTTTTAAATTCTATTCATCACAACACCAAAAGCGTACTTATCAATTGAATGATTTATATTGCAAACTATCACGTTTTACATCAAAAGTCTCAAAAAGCACAGTTACTAACACAACAACAGTTACTGTATGTTCTATTAAGGTGTACAAGGACAATGCATACGTTATTATTTTAAGTGTGTTAACATCAAATCATGAATACACAAGAAGATGGTATATATTAATATTAACGTGCACTGTAAAGTGTTTACATCAACAACGTAAAATCCACCATATGCAGTGGTGGCTGTATGGCTCAACAACTGATACAGGCTCTAATTTCCCTTTTGGTAATTTATGATGGAATCTTCAAATTAAGATGGATGTAGTAAGTGCTCACGACGTTACTGGTAAAAAAGCTCTTGTCATGCAGTAGTCGGAATACTGTTACTAACATTCAACAGTACAGATCATTACCATACAGGACAGAAGCCATGCTCCAATTGTTTTACGTGTCAACCATCCCAGTACGCTATCAGCCTGGCATGATGGACCAACATAACATACCTTATCTTTTTTTCCTCTTATCACTGTTACATCTACAAAAAAATCAGTTAATCATGGTCAGATGATTAGATGTCTGTTTAAATGAGCGCAAATGCTATAGTAAGCTTATTTGGCCATGTCTGACACAGCATTTTTATATCATAGAGAACGCAATGGTCTAAGCACCATTAACAACATAGCCTTAGAAATCTTACCAGATCTCTTTATATAAGCGCAAATGCATGTGAATATATGTTATTGCAAGATCATTTGGCTGTGTGTGACACAGTATCATAGAGAACGTAATGGTCTTTGCATCATTACCAAGTTAAACATAAACTTATATATAAGTAATCTTACTAAATGTACGTACTAACACGTACCCAAAATGATTTCTAGAGATTTTACAAGACATTCCCAAAAGATACTAAATGTGGTGGGAAAAGATGCCATGTTTCACAAAACGGAATGGACTACAAAGAGTTGATCATTCATTTTTTTCATCTGTAGAATAAAAACGCTCTATGACACATTTTTATTTTCATAGATGTTTTCACTGTCCTGTGTTTCTGAAACATTTTCTGTTACGTTGCAAATGTCTTCATCACTCAGCTCCGCAATATGATATTGGGGTGTATCGAAAATAATCGACATCGCACAAGCCTTGTCATATGTGTAGGAATCAGACTCGCCAGCGCAACACCCGTCTACGTCTGGGTTCTGTCTGGCAACTTGCTGACTAGGAACACTGTTTGCAACTTGGCCAGCCGCCATGTTGTTCACGTGACCAATAGGGACATTTTTACAGGGTTGTCCCCGGCGCATTGCCACATACACAGCAAACACTACACCACAGATCCCAGCAATTATTACAACAACTGCAATGACAACCACCCATCCGGACAACACGGCAACAGGTTGTGGGGATGGCTTTAGGGTCTGTGTCATTTCCGCCATGTTAAGCGTCAATGTCGAGTTTGTATCGGTCAGGATCTGTCGGGTCTGTCCGGTTGCTAACACTGACCTAGAGTAAATGTTGCACACCACATCTGGTGTCACGGGACTAAAGGTAGTGTCACTTGTTTCTGTAAAGATAGCGGTCAATGTAGAATTAATGCCGTCAGAAAAACCGTTCAGATTTCGGGATAATGATCGCGTTTTGGCCTGTGGCGGTGTGGGGAACGTACTCGTAAGGAACAGGTCTGACCTACGACTGGTTAGCGGCAACGATGTAGATGTGGTCACGTTATGATGAATTAAAATAAATGGATTTTCGTAAACTTTATGACAGGGGTTGTCTAAACGACATGGCTTTGGCTGGTGCAGCGGTACGAGTCGTCGTAATGTCTTATCAAATGTATAACAAGCTCTGGTATTCAGGGAACGGAGTTCTCGGCCGGCTAGCCAAGAAGGTGTACTACAGCGGAACAAAGAAGGCTTGCTAAGCATATCGATTGCAACTATGTTTTCCTTAAAATAGTTTGTGCAAAACACGGTGGTTCGGCCACGGCACAGTTCCACTTTTTTCGCCACTTCCAGCATCCAGAGCACCTCACAGCTGCACCAGAAATGGTTACCCGCCATCATCACACGGGAAAGTGAAGTTGGCCTGTTTGCATTGCCAATGCCAAGATCACACAAAGGCAAAGAAAAGATCCGGTTAAAGGAAACGTTCAAGAGTCGTAGTTCGGTCAAGAAAGGCATAACAGGAAATAAGTTGACACAGAAAATTTGGTTCTGGGACAAATCTAGTTCAGTTAGCCTTGTCATATTCTTCAGGCAGTGCCAAGGCACGTAACTGATGTTGTTGTTCCGTAGGTTCAGCCTGTACAGACTGTCCAGACCCGTACACGGAAAGACAGTGATAGCGTTGTTAGGAAGCAGAAGCTCAAACAGAGACTTAGACAGATCTGTGGGAATGCTTGTCAAGCCTTTGTTGTTGCAATAAATGCTACATACGATAGGTAAAGACGGGTGATGTGTCACATCACATCCTTGAACTTGAAGTTTTGAAAGCTCTAGTTCCTGGTCTGCTGCGTTTAAAGATACAAAGAACATAGCCAAAACGGCAAGCATGCTGACAATACGTAATATTGGTATCAGAAATAGGCTAGATCTCTGTAGGAATCGCATGGTGGTGTGAATGTGACAAGATGCACTAACGATTTCGTGAAGAATTTGGTTGATATTCACTACATTGATAAAAAAGGCTCCGTCCCTGATCCGTCGCCAAAAAGCAAACGTCTAAAGCAAGAACTTTAACATCTCAACCTTCTTATGTCTTAGCTGGGTGTTGTTTGTAGTAGCAAAATTTGGTTTTGTTATACAGGTGCCATTAATTACAATACACTACTTCCGTTTGTTCTAATTAATGAAAAAATATCAGTTCCACTTGTAGCATGATAGACCAACAAAGCGACTTGTTATCTTGTCTGATCACTCCTTAACTCCTTGGATAGGACGTCTCAGCTTTTCTTCACCAGAAACCTCGACCTTAAGAATTAGAAAAAATACCTAGAATCAGCCAATGCTTGGACAACGTCTGCTCAAAGTAAAATAAAAGGCTATACTCTACGTACATATCCTCTAATATGTGTAGTATCTGACTAGATCCTTGTGTTTTTCTAAAATTATGATATGATCTAAACATATGTAAAAGTGGTTCGATTTTTTTCTTTTATTCGTGCATAGAACAGTCACCATCCCTTGATTTTTATATATGCACATTACATCGATTGATATTATATTGCCAACCAAACAACAAGAAACCACATAATAATGCAGAACTGTATAGAAATACTGTATGATGACATACATGTAGTAGTCATCCGGCCAGAGATGATACAAGAAATGATTCTTTGATTCGTAAGAAACACTTACATACCTTCCAGAAAATACCCAAGCTTCATTCTGGCCTCCTGATAGTAAAGTTTCTGAAGGTGTAGTGTGCTCTCCTGCGTTGACACATGTAAAAAAAAGAAGAAGAATCCTAGATTGTCTATCTGCCTGCCATTGGGCTTGTTTATAACATGTTGCGTGTTTACTACTGCCATGCAATCATATCCCTACAATCTCTGCTCTCTTTGTGGAATCTAAATCCGTACAACAATACGGAGAACTGTTTGTCATTTACAAACATTATTTGGACAACAAGTAAAATGCTCATACACCAGAAATTTTAAGGGAAGGTACCTGCCATGCATAAGTGTATCTGATTATCTTCTTGATTTCCTTCTCAACAAACTTTGTAACAATACTGTACGTTTGTTGCTGTTAATCCATGTAGCTTACCTGACGAAAATGTGAAGACGCTGCCACGTGTCTCCTACCCTAACCCGACTGAGAAGAATGAAATCTGCTGATCTGTCTATCATGATGCGCGTGGGAGCGTCATCAACGATCTTGTATTTGTAAACTTCATTTTCTTGAAATCAATTTGCGGGCCCGCCGTTCCCTCCAGCAGTGCGTGGGTGAATGAAATAGACTAATCTCAAGTCCAAGTACACGTCTAACTTGGAGTTACATATATGTACTGGCAACGTTATGTAAACGTTGGGTCCAAAACTTTTACTGTGCGACTTAGCTAATCCATTTGTTTTGATATAGGCCTAAAGAACTACATTTTTGTATGGGCCTTTAGAACTATTTTATGGAGTTTGTTTTACAATTTTCTGTCGAAACGAGGAAGTCACGACTTATAATTAGCTCCTGTAGTTTCGTAACAAATATACCACCAACAACTGACAGAATAAGGGTTACACAAATGTACCACCAACAAGTGACAGAATAAGGGTTACACAAATGTACCACCAACAACTGACAGAATAAGGGTTACACAAATGTACCACCAACGACTGACAGAATAAGGGTCACACATACAACAAATGTACCACCATAGACTGACCGAATAAGGGTTACACAAATATACCACCAACGACTGACAGAATAAGGGTCACACAATTGTACCACCATAGACTGACCGAATAAGGGTCACACAAATATACCACCAACGACTGACAGAATAAGCGTCACACAAATATACCACCAACGACTGACAGAATAAGGGTCACACAAATGTACCACCATAGACTGACCGAATAAGAGTCACACAAATATCACCAACGACTGACAGAATAAGGGTCACACAAATGTACCACCAACGACTGACAGAATAAGGGTCACACAAATGTACCACCAACGACTGACAGAATAAGAGTCACACGCACTTGGGGTTGTCGGTGGCATTGCCGGACTCCCCGATGTGGATGTTGAAGGGGTTGACTCGGTCCCAACAACAGGGATCCTGGCGGTTGAAGATAACCACCCTGTAGACAGCGTTAAAACATAAGAACAGTTACATTAGAGTTTTGGGCACACATTATTAGCTATAATACCACCAACGACTGACAGAATAAGGGTCACACAAATGTACCACCATAGACTGACCGAATAAGAGTCACACTAGTACTGGTCAGGATTGGCACCATGTGAGGAAAATCTCCGCACTAGCATCATCACGTCACTCGGAGATTTTAAATTAAAGATCGATGCTGTTGTAATCTTGTCGAGCAAATATCATTACAGTGGCATATAAAAATGTAATTACAAAAGACACACCTGAATCTGAAAAGACTTGGACCTCGCACAGGGACAGGGCTCGGTGGTACCCGGGAAGACGGACCCCGACGTACCGTCCCGTCATCCCCTGGCACGGGACGGAAATGGACGGCTGGTTCACGCGGTCGAGTTGATGGTCACCTCCGCACTTGGGGTTGTCGGTGACATTGCCGGACTCCCCGATGTGGATGTTGAAGGGGTTGACTCGGTCCCAACAACAGGGATCCTGGCGGTTGAAGATAACCACCCTGCAGACAGCGTTAAAAACACAAGAACATTTACATTAGAGTTTTGGGCACACATTATATCAGCTATGACGGCACAGGTCCCATGAGTGGTCCGTTGTATTTCCAGCTGAACTTGTCAGTGGTGTATAAGCTTGAGAAGTGAATGGTTTCTTTTTTGTTGTTGTTGTTGTTGGTTTCCAAACTTACCTGTTAATCGGAAACGATTGTCCGAGATCAACCCACCACATGGGGTTGTGTTCGAACTCCGTGTGGAGACAGGATCCAGAGTCCACCCACTGGTCAGTAAAGTAGTGAGAATAGGTGTTTCCGTCCACGCCACGGCCGGCTGACCCATTCCACTCGACGGATGATTGGAACGCCGGTCTCCCTAGAGCGATGTTAGTATCAGCTCTAGGCAAGACGACTGTCAGACATAATGTAGAAGTAACATGTTTTACTAAGTACACATGTGTATATGTTGAATCATCATAACTTCAACAGGTATTTAAGATGAGAAAATCATAATGGATTTATTATAACGGAATCACTCAGCATTTTTGTACTACAGCTGATAGATTTGACAGGGTGAAACCAAGATTTGATCAACCTAAAAGTGACCCGAACTGGTGGGACCCTGAAAAAATGGCGGAGACAGGGCTTTGTGAGCTTAAGTTTTCTTAAATTTCCCAAGGCATGTATGAGAAGTCAATCTTAAAGCACCTTGAAGCCGAAATGTGTGATTGTCGGGTCTTAGTCTAATCTCAGTGAAAAGCAGTGTGGATTTTCTAAGAAGTACATTACCAAGTTTTCAGGTTCCTTGTTGAAGACAAAATTTTGTGCACAAAAATGATGTCATACAAACGAAATGATTTCTATGAGTGTCGGAAGGGTTCTAAACTAGTAAATACTGCAGGGCATGAGTGTTTCGCTGGAAAGACTAAAGTGCAAATAGTCTACAATGTGTAAAACAAGAGTTCCGAGATCTCATACCTCCATGAAATATGGGCTTGCTTTGTCCTCATTAATTATGCAAACAACCTCTACATTAACATAATATATGCATAGCGACGCAAACCTTTAAGTAACTTACACATGTTACGAGGTATAAAATTCCCATCACTCACCAATAAGGATTCACAGAATTTTCACATTAATTATGCAAATTAGGTCATCATTTGCATAATTGGTATCTGTTGATGTTCCGCCTGCCACAGATTAAATAGATTACATGTATAGCAGTACCATTATATGAAACACTGTAATTATAGAACTTCCTCATTAATTATGCAAATTAAGTCCTCATTTGCATAATTTGCATTTAATCATGTACAACTGTCTCTCAGGTATCTACACACCAAAAAGTGATGAAAATATGTTGTTCCAATGTGGACTTATTGGCTTTGAAAGTTTTACC